CTAGGGAAACACTCAGCAGAAAAGCAACGGTGAGCACACCGACTGGCAGGGGACGGGGGACTTCTTGGTTCCAGTGCTTTCTTCTTCTCTTGGGTGGCAGTTACACGCATGTATTCACGTACAGAAAATTCATGGCCATAAACACTTTTTGTACTTCAAACGAAAAGCTAATTTTACAAAAACGTCACGGCCTGTGTCCCTGGTTTTGCGCGCTATTCGGAACAAAGGCTCGGTGGGCCCCTCCCAGCGCCAGCACTGGTCAGTGCGGTGGGTCAGCAGCAGGTGTGGACTGTCAGTGAGGGCAGGCGACCGGGGTGGCACCGGACAGGACACCGCAGCGTGGGCCCCGCCTGCTGTCACCGTAATGCCCTGTGGGTCAGGCCTCCCCGGGCCTTGAGGCCTGGTGTGCCCGTGGCCAAGGACGCTCGGGGAGGAAGACAGGCCACGGTCCCTTCCACTAGTTCAGGTTCTGGACGGAGGGGCCAGCTGGCTTCCACCACACACACGCGCACACACGCACACACATGCACAAAACACACGCACAGCACAGACACACACGCACACACAAAATACACATGCACGCACACGCACACACCACATATACATTAGACACACGAATGTACACACATATACACCACATACACACTCACACACACACACAAAACACACACGCACACATTAACACCACACACACCAGACACACACATGCACACACACCACATACACACTCACACACACACGCACAAAACACACACACAAACCACACACACCAGACACACACATGCACTCACACGCACACACCGCCCAGGACGGCCGCGTCCCGCCGGGCCAGCCGGGAAGGAGCACAGAGACGCGGTCACGGTGGTGCGTGGGGGATTACGGGAGGGGACAGACCGCAGGGCCAGTCCCAGCGTGGTGAGGGGGCCGGACGGGGCGTGGGAGTGACTGCAGGGCGGAGCCACGTGTGCCGGGCGGCTCTGTGGCCGTGCGACCGTCCTTCAAAGGGCGATCCAGCCGTGCGCACCAGATCCGGCGCAGGGGCCTCTCCCCCTTATCTGTGGTGAACTGAACCCGGCGTGAGAGCTTCGTGTGAACGGGTCCAAGGGCCTGGGCCGGGGCATGCGGCGCATCCGGGCCATGTGCCCAACACCACCCCACGGCCACCCGAGCTCTCCTCACCCGGCAGAGCTGACGCCGCCCGTCAGACAAGAGCCCCCAGTCCCCCGACCCCCAATCCTTTGTCAGAGGCCTCGGGTCACAGAGCACCGTCCCCGCCGACGCGGGGCTGGGCCTGGGGCCATCTGCGACCCCCGAATCCCCCCGTCCCTGTCTGCACCCTGCGGACACGTGAACTGACGGAAGGACATCAGTGACTTGTCTCCCGAGGACAGAGGTCAGTCTGCGGCAGCCCCGGACCGTACGAAAACACTCCCCGTGGTTCGCTCTGCCACCGGAGGGGACCCGTGGAGCCGCTCGGACGGACTTGGGGTCCTCGGCAAACGCGCGTGCTGCCGACCGGCCAGTCCCCGCAGAGGCGGCAGGCTGAGAGCGGACCCCGCCGTGCGCGCGTGTCACTGTGTCGCATGTCACTGTCTCGCAGGCCCGCTCCAGGCCCTGGACAGGGCGCCGTGACGGGCTGCAGGGGGGGCAGATGAGACCCGTGTCCCAGGCCGCTCTGAACGCGGGGTCTCATGGGACGCCACCGAACTCGGTCTGAGAATGTCGCCGTTAATCTCGTGTAATCAATTAGAACCGGATGTAACTACTTCGATCTGAACGTCACTCATAAAAACTTAAAGACGCAGACGGCCCACTTCTTCCGATTTAACGCGCTGACCGCGCTGGGCCAACCCAGTGACGCTCACGGTGTTTTTTCTTAACCCGTTTTCACTTTTTCAAAGAAGGAATTGGTGACTTTTTCTCTCCACGACGTGCGTCTGTTAAAAACAAGTGGGCGTCCGCAGCAGGCGCTTCCCAGTGCTCGAAAGCGCACTCGCCGGGTCTGGACACGGGTCCCGGTGGCCCGCGCCGGTCCTCTCTGTGCCCCCTGCCCAGAAGGACACTGGGTGCCGTCGTGTGCGCTGCACGCCGCGCCTGTGCTGCGGTCCATTCTCACGACGGTCCCCCCAAACCACGAGCGCCCACTTTCCAGACGGGGCGAGCGAGCACGTGGGAGTTTGGGTCGCTGGGGCCGAGTGGGGGTGACAGACGTCCTGCACGGCCAGGCCGCGCGGGGCAGCGGGCCGGATGTGGGGAAGGACGGGCAGCGAGCTGGTTCCAAGGCCACAGACAGGAAAGCGCAGAACAGGCCGAGATGTGGCGAAAATGTCCAGCTAAAGCCCCCACGCGGTGGCCACGAGCCTCGTCTGTCGAGACGGGGAGAAGCGCACGGAAGAGGGGGCCCCACAGCTGAGAAGAGCAGCGACCAGACGCCAGTGTCGACAGAGCCGGGCCAGGGCCACGTGCGCGGCCCGCTCACTCGGCCGAGATGTGACATTCACCCAAACGTCCATCGACGGACAGAGGGATAAAGGAAACGCGGTCTATGCGTACGATGGGAGGCCAGTCGGCCTTCGAAACGGACAGGCCACCCTTTGCCACCAGTGGATGGGGGGTGGCGGCCGCGGCAGGACGGTGGCCGCAGGGGGGCAGCTGCTGTTCAGGGAGCGCACAGTGTCAGCTGTGTAAGATGAATACGGTCCGGACGTCCGTCGTGCGACACGGCGCCCGTGGTTATCAGTAAGGTGCAGGGTTTGTAAGCAGGTAGGTCCCGTGTGAACTGTTCTTACCGAAATAAACGGGAGAAAAACAAGGGGCAGACAGAGCTTTTGGAGGGGACGGGTGTGTCTACCGCCTGGACGGCAGTGATGGTAACACGGGTGTGCGCAGGTGCCCCAGCTCGCCACACCGCACGCGGGAATGACGGGCGGCTCCTCCCACGCGACAGGGCCGGGGGCGGGGACGGGGGATCCGAACCATCTCGATGAAGAGGCGAACGCAGAACCGCCTGTAAAACGGTGACCCGGGAGTCAGGTTGGGGCGTTGACGATGACTGGCATCCTAGTAGACGGTGGTGAGACGGCCCTGCCGGAGGCACGCAGGCAGGCACGCACGCAGGCACGCACACACGCACGCACGCAGGCACACAGGCACGCACAGACACACGCACGCACGCAGGCACGCACGCACGCACACACGCACGCACGCACGCACGCACGCAGGCACACAGGCACGCACACACGCACGCACGCACGCAGGCACGCACAGG